TTCCACGGCCACGTTACCTTACAATAAGAGCCGACGCCCCCGTGACATGGGTTCCCCGGCAGACGTCACTCCAGAAATACCGCGACAGAGGTAACCGCAAGCCGTAGCGTCATAAGTCAGCTGGGCCACGCCGAGGCGGTAAATGTACTCCTTCCAGCCGGACTCTTCATGCATGCCGATACCCCTTACGTAATAGTTACTGCGGGCGTCTGCTTCACGGGATGTTCACCGGTGACGCGAACGCGAAAAGCCTGACAACGCCCCCCGCCCCATTCCCCCACACACAGATCTCTCCTCCTTCCGCCGTCTTTGTAAAAACATACGCGATGCGTCGCGTGGGAGTGTACCCCTTGCGTTAAGGTTCATATCCGGCACGAAGCACCAGTCTGCTGTCCTGCCCAGCCATTGGTGCCGTGCTCATCGCCCCGTTACCGATTTTTGGCATCAGTGTTACGAGCGTGTGGAAGATTGTCTTCTTGTCCGAAAGATTTATACGTTTATATGCTCAAACTGAGTCGCCTAGGTTATTACGGATCGTGTACTTGTGACCGTTATGGAAAGTAAGGACATTTCTATCACACCTACGAAGTGATTTTTATGGAAGGCGTCAGATTTGATGAAGACGAAGTTCAGTGAAAGAACGCCAATAGGCTAGCTGAACGACTGACAACTTAGCATAGGCCACTTGCTCCAACCCGCTTGTTGCCTACCTGCCACATGCCAGGCACTTCTCATAGCGTTCACAACAAATGATTATTAAGTTTGCTTTATTGCACCAAGCAGTAAAGAATTTTTGTTACCTCGATTTGACTGAGCAAATCAGAGAAAACTAAATCGCTATATTTATTGATGCTGCTCATTATTTAACTTCTTTTTTTGCGGCCCAAATTTTAAATTGTATCAATTTTACCACAACAATATTTCGATGACTCGTTGGAACCATTGCCTACCTATCCAATCCAAGCCCATTAAGTTAAATGCTTCGCCTGCCAAAGAAGAGGGTTGCTGGATGTTCAACGTTTGGCTACTCATATAGGACGTCAACCGTGCGATGCAAGCTCGAGCAGAAACTACCAGGGTAGTGAGTATCAATCATACATGCTCCACTACCTCCTTATTGCCCTTACGAGTGAGTGTCACACGTGCAAGCGCATCCATCTTTCCATCTCTACCGTGTCCCCCTCTCTCAGAAGAAACCTCAACAACTGTTGACGCCTGACGAGTCGAGGGTAGGCCACCGG